CCAAAAACAGTGAATTTAATGATATTTATATAAAAGTTTTATTCAGTCAAATGTCTTCATTTCTGCCGTAACATCCTCTGCTTTCTGACCTCATTGTTATGCGTATATACGTAAACATTTCCGTAACTCATTATCCATTTCTAATTCTTACTCAGTCTGTACTCTGTAAGATTATTTTATTAAAGTTTAAGTGTTACACCACAAACAACTTGAAATTTTCCAGCGTAGTTAGAGTTAACTAGAAGATCGTCAGTGTTGTTCTGGTTGTTGATCCATTCACTACACCGTGTTCATCGAGTGTGAACAGATCGACTTATATCATATTCCGCGTAATATTCGCGTTTTACAAATCATGAACGTAGATGACGCTTAAAATAATAACAGCATTTTTTCAATGTGTGTGTGTAGCGCGATAAAGTACTTACTTTCTGACTGTGAAACAATGCAATTGATGTGTAGTAGGATGACAATCAGCTGAATAATTGGCACTTTACAATGAATAGTTGCACAGATATCCATGAAACGATGTGTTTTTACTTCATGTAGTTTCGTTCACGAGCACACAATCATCAGGTGTGTGGTTGATGTGGATGCTCATTGATTGTTTCATTTTTATTTCGAAGTGTGACCTTATCTATTGAGGAAATCGACACCTCTTAGCCTACAATCCGTCCGAATACCGTTCGGGGCTACTGACGGTGCAAACAGTTTTGAATGAAGTTTCAGAATTCAGCCTGTTTGTAGTGAAAGATAATCCTCCAATGAGAATAAAGATTGATACAATGAATGAGCAAACGGTCATATAAACCAGTTGACAAGCGATATGCCTAAGCATGTAAATCAATGCATTTAAAAACAAGAAAATATTTCGATTTCACAGGTTTTTTATAGGTAAGTGAATATCAGCTGACTAATATTTATATTAACTGGAAATTGAATACTTGTTCAAATCATCACACTTTTACAAAAGAATAAAGTTATTTCACTATGAAGAAGGATGTTTCACTTCTGCATGAATTCATTTTTAAATGACTGTTTGTGTTTGATGTGAAATGTCAGCACAAAACAATTGTGAATGGATTTGAAATCAAGAAAACCTGAATGTAAGAGAAATGAGTTTGATGGGGTGATAAATGCTGAAGCTGCATTTGTCGACTCCGTTCCCGTTTCATATGCAGGAATATGCCGTTAATGGAAGGTGTCGAAATGTGTAAATTTAGATAATTTTATGTAACGTATTTTAGCAGAGAATACGAAAAGTTTTAAGAGGAAAATAACATAACTTCATTTGATTCTTCTCTGCTGTTTACGACCTGTCATGTTTAGAGCCACAATTACAATTTCTTACGTGGAAGCTTCCTGTTTGTCACACATCAGAATAGTTAACCGATGGTGAACATCATTAAAACGGACATATTAAGAGATTTTAAATTAGGATGAATGAAATAAATGAAGTGAAAACTCACTTGATTAAAACACGATCAACAATCTAGAAGACTGTGGAAATGAAAAGACGTAATGATTCAGTTTGTTGAGAGAAAGAGTTGAAATGAATTGACGGATATTTTGAATAAATATTTCTCACCAAGTTACAGATATTCTAACAGTTCTCTGTTGGTTCGAACAAAGCGGTCTAGTATTTCAGATGCCTGATGACAATGCTTGGTAGGAAACTTCCGAAGACTGGAGTTTGGTCGTTTATTACTGAACTTGGAAGATTGCAAGATATCGATGTGATGTCCTATTTCCGTGAGATGCTCATTGATTGTACTTTTAAAAGTCGACCTTTCATTAGCTTGAGAGCTTTCAAGAACACGTTTGAGCTATCTGAGATATGCTGCAATTTCTTCTGATTAGCAGTGTAGCTTCTGTGGCAGACATAACCAAATTCATGAGCCTTCATGAAGAATTTCAGAGTATAACATCAGTTCCCCAGAGGCTAGTCTCAGTTGTCCCACCTGTGTTCAATGCATTTCAGGAGTTGCTAGCACCTCCAGGTTGCATCTCTTCATTTCTGAAGCGACTTGAAATAGTCATCCACTCTCCCACAATGTTCGAACATTCCAAGTACGTATAATAATGGTTGCTCTTGATATCATAAAAGGCATAGGTCTCATGACTTCCAAATGAACTTGACTTTCGTCACGAGATGTCATAATTCTACATCCAACTCTCAGGGTAGTGTCGAAATGTCTTGAATTATTTGTTGCGGTCAGCGTTTTTTAGCGAGTTAGATTTTTTGTGGAATGAGGTCGCCAAGGCCCATGCCAAACCCTCCTCATTTGTCCTTGCTTAGGTCTGGCAGTAGCAGCGAAGGGTCTACAGGAGGATTGTAGGTGAAGAGGTGTCGATTCACTCAATACGGAAGGTCACATTTCGAAATACAAATGAACTAATTATTGATTATCCATGTGATGATGACATGCTCGTTATAGTAACTGTATAAAGCCAAAACATATTGTTTTACGGATATCTGTGCAACTATACATTAGAAAGTACTAATTATTCAGCTCATTGTCGTCCTACTACACATCAACTGCATTTTGTCAGTGCTAGAAAGTAAGAACTTCATCGCCGCTACACAAACACATATATTGACTAAATAATATCACAATTTCACTCTTCACTACATTCACTTCTTCTTCACAAGTAAATTTAACTAACGGTTCATTTTCAGTGCGATGACCTACGATTAATATCGTACAAACTTAATTATACATACACCTGTTTACAGCCAAATTAATATTCAATTATGTATATGTCTGCGATTTATAAATTGAACATCAGAACATTCTGGGATATCATGTGGAATATCAGTCAGTTACAGCGTAGAACTTCGTTCATCAGTATGTAAGTTGAGGTCGCCATACCGCATCAGCGCAGCGACGCAACATTCAGTTCTATTTCAATAGTGTTAGACATAGCAGAAGTTTTATCAGTAATGCAGAAAATAAGAGTTCGAAGATATGAGTCGATAAGTGTAGTTCAGTGCGATAATTTTAGAGAGGGAAAGATAAAGATTATGAGGAATTCAGAAGTTCAGAATTTGAGAGAACACAATTAGTGAATTCATCAGCGTCATTGCAAACGTTTCAGGGCATTGTCGTCCAAGGTTTTTAACCATTGGTGACTTTCGTCTTGCGGACAGCAACCAGGTGTCATGCATCTACCAGAATGACTCTGTTCAGTTGTCAGTGATGTCATGAATTTGTGACATGTTATGGTCTGGGTACACCTACATTTCTTCCGACCTACTCTTCTCCACAAAAGTAGCTGGTCGAGGCAGTCTGTAGTTGGGCATTCATAACACCTGCCACAACCACCACAACTACTGTAGTTTCACTACTTCATCAATTGATTTGCCATTCCTTCCTAGTGTGTTTGTGCTACTTATATAAGTAGTATAAGAAGGCACGTGAAAGAAGAACTCTCACGGTCACTAGAGGAAAACGGAAAGCAAATGGAGGAAAAGCAAGAAGTAAATGGAGTACCGACAGGAAGTAAAGGAAGCAACAGCAGGAATGGAAGAAGGCTGGACGTTGGAAGTCAGGACTCGAAGAAGGTGTGAAAATAGAGTGTTCAATGTAATCTCACGTTTTTAATTGACTAAGAGTGTAAATTTGCTAAATACGATCTATCGAGCCAGCCTCAGTCTTCTCACTAGTACTGGTTTCCCAACGACAGCATTGCTTACTAGGCTGTTCCAGGATAGACGAGCAATTCTCCAAAGACATCTATAATCGAATACCAATAATCTACGAATATGCTCTAATCTCACCCGCCATGTTTGGAATCCATATAGTAGGACCGATCAAACTGCTGAGCAGTGGACACGACCGCCCCCTAATACTAGTTCAGGTGCCAATTCAACCAAATCATGAAGTAACATTTCGCATTTCAAGATGGAAAACCGCATCCAGAACATGCTTGTATTGTTCCTAAGGGTAGTCAGAAGACTCTGCATTTTGTCGGCCTCTTCAGTGAACAGGACAATGTTATCAGCATACTCTAAGTCAGCAAGCGTCTCTCATGTTAAAAGGTTTACTCCTGAAAAGTTGGACGAAGATAAAGTTGACTTTAACAACCTAATCAGTATTGTTCAGGAAAGAATGGAAACATTTTCATTAAGAATATGTAATATATGTAAAATATAACATAAGTTATGTGAACGACAATTGTACATTTGAAATAAATGCGAGCGGATCAGACAATTCCGTCATATTTTTGCATTGAATCTACACGCTGGTTCCTCGAAATTCCGTGTTGTCAGCCACAAACCTGACGCGTAATTGTAATGATCTTGAATAACGGGTGCCTTCAAAATGAAAATTTGGAGTTTTCGTAGCCTTCGTCTGACCATTGGATTCTGTGAAAAATTGAAACATAATAACAACTTATTGTAAGATATTTGTAGAAAAATGATTTGCTTAACTGATTGGAAAAACTGCACAGATCTAAATTGAGTTCATTCTCTATAAATTATGGTTTAAAACATTGATACAACCATTTTGTGCTGACTTTCGAAATGATAATAGAGAATCGGATTGGGCATTACTTCACTAGACAAATGTGTATTATAGCTGAGCTAGTGGATCAGATGGATTATTAACCAATGTGTAGGACATCATAATGTTCTGGAAATCAACCGCCGGCACACCACTAAATCGTACAACATCATTTCATTATGACGAAGATGATCTGACAGTAAAGCAACGCAGTCAAACAAAATTAGGTCTTCTTGAACTGCAAAACACTGCAAAGAACTACTATGAACAACTCGAAAATTCCTAGCACGCTCATAGGTATTAAGAAGATCGTCAATGTTGTTCCAGTTGTTGATCCACTCAACTCAATGTGTTCGTCGAGTGTAAAATAGTTCATATCTGTCATATTCAAATTGATAAGCGCTTTCTACAGTTCATGACAATATTTGATGAGTATAATTGTGATAGAATAGTGTCAATGTATATGTATGAGTGTTGTGGCGATGAAGTACTTACTTTCTGACTGTGAAACAATGCAGTTGATGTGTAGTAGGATGACAACGAGCTGAAAAGTTAACACTTCCCAATGCATGATTTCATAGATATCCATAAAACGATGAGTTTTGTCTTTATATAGTTGATTTGACGATCATACACTCATCACGTGGTTGTTCAGTGATTGGTTAGTTTGTATTTCGAAATGTGATCTTATGTATTGTGGGAATGTTTACGACTTAGTCTACAATAATTTGTTGGTTGGCTGTGAATTGAAGATAGTTGTGTTTGAAACTGTTTTGATTGGATGTTGAAATGTGTAGTTACTCACTTGAATATCATTTGAAGAGAGAGGAACTCTCTCGACCGACTGCATTAATGTGTATCACTGGCATTAGGGTGTGATACGAGAGTAGTGGTTATTTAAATGACATCATGATCTAAACTGTGATGAATATTCACATGAGTCCACGAGACAGAGAGGGCGTATTTTCAGTTATTACGTAACTATGACATGAATGACCTCCTTCTACGCAATTTCATTTCTCTCAATGAATCTCCTCACAAGACTAAATCACATGGTTAGTCGAATTGTCGATTCGACATCGTTGTTTTCAACCTCTAAGTTTGTACGATTTTTCTTCTAAAATAAAAATTAAAGACTGGAAGTGAAGTGGTAGATAAGTCAATGAAGTAAGATAAAATTTGATGGTCTGCATCAATGAGTTTGAGAGAAGTACTGCAATATGAATTCTTTTTCAGTTCTACTAAGAAAAAATGGATTCCGCTGATGATCAAACATTGAGCGGTTCATGATAACACTGAAAGAGATCAGTAGAAATACACAAAAGAAAGAAAATTTTCTTCTTCGGTAGGATTAACTAAGAGAACTTGTAAGAACTATTACATGGGAACCTAACAAAATGCATCAACTGTATTCCATTTTTATTGAAACTGACAGAAATTCTCCAACTATGAATATTGAATATGTGTGTACTGCTTCTTGATTAGTAAATACAAATTACTAATGCATTTATTGTAACTTAACAGTCGCAAGTTGTGACTTGGTGTTAACTCGTAAGTCGAAAATTTACTAGAAAAATTGCGTAACGAAATATCCACTGTATTTGCATTAACTACTTATGTCTATTACCCTTAATGTAGTATGGACAGTCGACCAGTATTCTCCCTCCTATTGTGTGCTGAACCTACTATTCAAGTCATATTCAATTGTTCTTCATTTTCTCTCAATAATGTCTCCATTTCTCGGCGCATATTATTTTTTCGTGTTCCACTATTGCTTCAAAAAATGCCAATTCATTTAAACAAGTGAACAGAGATGAAATCAACTGTCAATCAGAATGGATTAAATATGTATATTTACCTGCTACTACTACTACTACTACTACCAATACTACTACTACTACTTTTACTACTACTACGATTACCACTACTGTTATTCGTATATTACAAGTCATCATTGCTTCACTCTGACTGTCGTTTCTTCCTGTTGACTAGTTTAAGATTGAGAAAATAAATTTTGTGTTTCAGATGTAACATTTTGTAGAATCATTATTATTCCACTGTCTTTATTTTATAATGTTTTATATTCTACTTCTGGGTGAACAGTACCAAATCATGAAATATTACACTTACACACGTAAGCACACACCATTCAATGATGTGATTATTGGTGACGAATTGTTGTTTTAAGCAGAAGGGGAAAAATACGCCTATTCAGCTTGTAATTAGAAGAAGTAAGAAATGACCATAAATAAATTATTCGATAAATGTATCGATCATTATTTACATGTGTAATCAATCGATTACAGTATCGATGATTGTGTATTTGCAGTGTGTGTGTGTGTGAGGATGCTTACTCAATTATCACATGTGCAGACTTTCATTGCCTGACTATAAATACTGAGTCATTGCCTCAGCATGCAGAGAGTCTACTCGCTCGCCTTCTTCAACTGGATTCGATTTGCTTTGCTTGTGCGCTTTCCGTTCTGATGTCTGTCTGCATAGATGAATGCATGAAGTGAATTATTCAGCAAAATTGTATTTGGCTGCTTACTGTCGGCGTCACATGAACGGGGTTTGTATAATTATGATATACGGAAATGGAAAGGAAGATTTATTTCACAGCACACTCGATCATTCGTCCACACTGCAGTCCAGTCGTGAGCCGCTAAAAGGTCATGTGCGGTAATGTTTGACTAGTTCCAAGCCCTTCAAAATAGAAATATGTTGAAATATTTTGACACAAATATAATCGCGTAAAAAGATAGTAAACAAACTCAGATGAATATCGGTTATTAATAAAATTCAACATACGCGCTGCGTTCTATTTGGCAACAGTCAGGTGAATGTATCTTCTCTCCAGCGTTGATTATCACTCAGGCACTTAAACATCAGTACCATTCGTTGCCAACGTCATAGAGTATTCTGTTAGCTACCAAGTTCAGATAGACATTGTCTTGTGTAATTGAATGAAGTTTGACACATTCGTATTTGTATTTTGAACTCTTTCATTAATAGTATTCAGGATTGTAATGAATCAAACTCATTCGGTATGCTCGCATCTTGTACGGATTGCCACGTTATTAGTGAAGTAAACATCATCAATCAGATGCAAGTTCATCCAGATGACTAATACGAAATAGAATGAAATAGACGTCTTCGATTCCACCCGTTTCACGATCTCTATCCACCTCTACTTATCATTCCTGTAATCGAAAAGGTAGCATCGAGTTAATCCATACATAATTGACATATGCCTATGAGACTGATTGACAGCATTTCCTAAACATAAATGAAATGCATCAAAACGATCAAACTTCAAGTGTATTCATCATGATAGAAAATTTTGTGGAAATTCTATATATGTTAATATACACATCAGAATGCCGTTGATACACAATGATGCAATCGGTTCATACACATACTGAATGTCAATGATTATCCTCTCTGGATAAAATCACATGACCATCATCGATGGTAAATCAAGTAGTCGATTTGATTCAGTTTTTTCATACAAAGTTCTTCCTAATTGAGTTGTCGTAAGTTAAAATAAGCATCTAAAGGTGTAAACGACAGAATATTCAATCAACTAAGAACAAGTTTGATGTTCTTCTATAATGAGTTTGACAGAAATTCTGCTATCGGATAGATGATGAAGCGAATCTTGACTAAATTGACTGATTTTATTCAAGCTACTTAGCGTTATTAAGTAGCATAGAGTATGTTTTGAGACTCTGTCAAGAATACGGAATCAAACGGTTTATTGCAGACCTTTTCCATACTGTATAGTTAATAGAAGTAGCTTGAATGAAACAAACCGATTCAATGAAAATTCTCAATACCAATTACCTTACAGTAGTATTTCTGTTAAACGCATTGATGGAGAGCACCGAATTGTATCTTACTTCATTTACTAATCTACCACTTCACTTTCATTCTTTAATTTTTATTTTAAGAACGCAAATCATACAAACTTCGAGGGTGAAAACATCAATGTCGATTCGACTAACCATATGATTTAGTCTTGTGAGGAGATTCATTGATGTCATATTTATGTAACACTTAAACTTAAATAAAATAATCTAACTGAGTACAGATGATGATTGATGAGTTGAAAAAACGGTTTAACCAAAGCGCTGATAGATGAACTCAGAACGCAGTTGAATCTATTTGAATTCATCAGTGAAACCATTACTTTAACCTAAATAACTGAAACAGCGCACTCACTGTCTCGTCACCTAATAAGATTACTCATTATATTTTTGATCATGATATCATTCAAACAACTACCACTCTCATATCACTATAGAATGCAACTGATACACAATGATGCAATCGGTCGAGTGGATTCCTCTCTCTTCAAATGATATTGGAATCAGTAAAACACTGTTTTCAACCTTCAATCAAAACAGATTTTGTTATGCTCGTCTCTATGTATGCCTAAACTATTACGGTTTACCTTGGTCGAATAACGAGAACAAAACGGTGTACCAGCGTACAGGTAGGCTACAATGATCCCTTGACCCAATTGTACCGGCAAGAAATCTTGATATGGTGTAGAAATTGTATTCTAGGAACACCCAGTCAGCACGCAATGAATCCAAGCACACACACTCTATAGAGACGTCCTTGGGACGGTCAAAGAAATAGCATACTAAAATGACACAGTAACCAATCACAGCCAAGAATTTTCATGACGGGTAATGTGGTCTCAATGTCAACTGATCGAAACATGAAATAAATCAAATATAAAGATATTTATCAAGCGAGTTCTGGAGATCTACAACCCCAACACTAGTCCCCTTTTATTATTTACGTGCTCTCCTGGGGTCGACTTGCATCGCTCGCCGCTGCATAACCTCGTGAACGGCGATCAGCTTGTGACTGAGTTTCTTCTCTTGAGAGGGGGCTGCTGATACATTGAAGGTATCAAGTAGGATATCAATGGGAAAGATTTTCTGCTCTTGATGAACGATCCGGGGATAGTCTTTTGCGTATCTGGTTTCGATTGAGTGACCATCTTTTGTCTCCTACCACTATTTCGTACATAACTGGCCCAATGCTTCTGATCATTCGCGCTTCTACCCAGGGACAATGATATGTTCTGTAGCCACGGTCAAGCACAGGGCATCCCAATTTGTAACAGGATTACCTTTGAGGCTTTGTCTCTACCGATGTTGATGCATGAGGCTGTGGATCGTTTCCAGTCTTCTCTGCATCGGGATTTCTGCTGTGAACGTTTGCTCCGTTAACAACGCATTTGGTTTCGTTCGATAAGCGTACAAGAAATTTTGTAAAGCGTCGGCCGGTGTCCCCTCCTATTTTGAATTAACCAATTCTCTTTAAAACGTATGCACATAACTTCCCGCTTGCCCATTCGATTGCGTTTGGTACGGTGGCGAGTGTAAGTGTTTAGTGGCTAGCTGTTGACTGAAAGTTTGCAATTGTGTTTAGGTGAACTAAGACCCATTGTCAGATATGACCACATCTGGTATGCCATTTCGAGAGAAAATATCGGTGAGGAGCTATATTGTCTAAGATTATGTAGGCGGTATTGCGGGGTCGATTACTGGCC